GGAAATAGTCTTGAGGTAGGCCAGCAGAATTTAGTTAATTAAATAAATAATTCACCACTGGGTGCATGCTTTGGTTTAGCCAGATGGAAGCCAATTTACTTTGATGTACTAAGCTCTGTATTTTTTTACTACCAAAATTTAAAAAGTCAATAGTTTTATTGAGCTGGAAGAAAGACCTGCTCATTCAGAAGTTTACTGAACTGTTACAATTGGCTGCATTTATTTTTCTTGATTTTTAATATTTATTGTTGAAAATAAGTATCCAATACCCACATTCATTTAGAACTAGATTGTCAGTTTGTACACTTTATAGTGGAAGTGACTCTATGCTCTCAGTAAGACTCACACATAATTTTCCATATATAATTCTACACTCACTCATACACATAAACACATTTTTCAGTGGTTTATTACTTTCTCAAGAAAATCTTTTATAGATTAATTTTTTTCTACACTTGGTCTCTACCCAGAGGTGATATTAAAAAAAAAGTAGCCCTATCCATTTTGCTATTTTTGCGGTCGTCATGTATAAAAGATTGTTCTTATTCCATGTATTCCAAGAAAATTATTAGTGCATATGTAACTCAATACTTGGTAATTTTGTGAAGAAATTTCCTTGTTTTGTAGATCTCACTGAGTTCTTGAAATAAGCTGAGTTTGAAGGAAATTGGCTTAGTATTTTTGGCGTTGTGAGCTCTGGAATTAGATTACTTTTCATACATCCACAGGTCAAGCTGTTTAGAACCCTAGAACACTGCATATAAACCAGTGCAGTAAACCTTGTTTAGTTTTTGTGCTCTGCCCAGCATGGCTTGGACACTAAGGTGATATGAAACGTTGTGACTGTAACCTTGATTGCAGTGTAATCAATGCAAGTGTTACCATCAATTTCAGTGGATTCAGAATTTCATCCCATAGCTTCCTCATCTCCTATCATAAGGACAGCTAAAGCCTGGGAAATTATAAATAAACCAGAGATTTGGGATGGGGTAGAGGAGAAGGTAAGTGGGGCAGTCTGCCTAAAGTCCACATGGTATAGTCAAATGAAGCTCAGAGATTTTTAAGCCTATTGCTCGAATCACTGACTAGCCATTATAATTCCTGGTACACGGGCTTATATTTTTAAAGGTTTTAAACCTATGGAAGTTAAGTGCCCAGGCTCTTTTGAAAATCATATGGCATGTAGCATGTCATAACTATTAAATAATCAGGCCCCACATAACCACATGAAGTAAGTAAATATAACCAACTCTGTTTTATTGATAAGGAAAACTGGATGTGTCTACTCATGCATTTGATCTGGGACCAGTTTACTTATAAGTAAATTACTCATAAGTAAATGCTCTTGGGCAGGCATCTACACATACAGGGACTGGAAGCAGATTTGCTGCTCCTAGCAACAAACTGCTCCCATTTCCTGTGGCCCTGCAATAGGCCCCTGCTGCCACCAGGGGGAACTCCAGGCTCTGGCTGAAGCTGCCAGCAGCCCTACTCCTTGCTCCCTGGCCAGCCACTTCCCTGGCCAGGAGCAGCATGCCCAGCATAGGGGCAGCACACAGCAGCTGTCTTGTCTAAGCCTCTGCCTCCCCACACCATGGCTGCTCCAGTCCCTGCCCCTGGCAGTGATGCCCAGCACCCTGGCTCGTCCTGGCCACTGCGCTGGCCTGCTGCACCAACTGCTGACTGGCTCATGGCTGTCTGAGCCCTACTGTCTCCCCCACATGCAGCGACCACCTGCCCGGCTGCACTGTGCTACCCCAAGGCTGTTGCCACCACACACCTGCCGCCTGGACCCTGCCCTGCTGGCCAGACCCCAGCAGGGGTGCTAACAATGTGTTGCTGGATGCCAACACTGGGGCCATCCATGGCCTTCTGGGCCTCCAGCCCTGCTGCCTCTGGGCCCGCTGGGCCAGCCAGGACTGGTGGCTTCCCATCGTCCAGCAGACCTGAGATAATGAGCAGTGGCTGGAGGCATTCAGGATGACCCAGGCCACCTTCCTGGACCTCCTGAAGCAGCTCTGCCTACAACTGGAATGGTAGAACACCACCATGCCCCTCTACGCAGACACCCGGCTGGCCATTGCCCTGCTGAAGCTGGCCACACCTTCCAGCTTCCACTATGTGGGCCATCTTTTTGGTGTGGGCAAAGCCACTTCCAGGGAAGCTGTCCTGGAGTTATGCGGCACCCTCCAGGATGTGCTGGGACACACAGTGCTCTGGGCACACAACCCCCCTGGAGGTGGTGGTGGAGTTCTGTGCCCTGGGATTCCCCCAGTACATAAGGGCCTTGGATGGGACCCACATCTGCAGGGGGCTTCACCGAGGAGGTGCCCCAGGGCCAGCTCCCCGCTGGGCCGGCACTGTGCCCTGAGCATGCCCCTGCTGAATATATCCCAGGCACTGCATGAAGAGCTTTTTGTGCAGACTAAGGGGTGCCACTATGCCCTGCTGCTGCTGATCTCCATGATGTCCTGGGCATATCTGTGCCCATGGTATCCTGGGAATACCTGTCATGGGAACCTGAGCTTCAGTGGTATGAGGGGCAAGCTGGGGCTACCCTGCAACCTCCGCTGCCACCTGAAGGCTGCACTACACGTCTCTGCCCCCTGCAGCTGAGGAGGACATCACCAGTGACAACCATGCATTGCTCAGTTTGTGAGAGGCCTATGCCTGCCTAGCTGTGGGGGCACAGGCTCC